ACATTTCATATTATCACAGCCTTTTTAGTGATTGCACCTGCAAAATAAGTCACCATGGGCCCCAAGAAAGCTTCTAGTGCCAACCCTACAGCAAAAAGGGTGAGAATTACTATGGATATGAAGAAAGAGATCATTGCTAAGTATGAAAGTGGAGTGCGTGTCTCCGAGCTGCCCAGGTTGTACACAAAACCCCAATCACCCATCGCTACTATTGTGGGTAAGAAAACAGCACTCAAGGAAGCTGTTCTTGCCAAAGTTGCAACTATGTTTTCGAAACTGAGATCGCAAGTACTCGAAGATGTTATTGGTGTGGATAAACGAAAAACAGACAGCAGGAGATAGCATCTCTCAAGCGATCATATGTGAAAAGCTTAGGAAGTTGCATGACGATTTAATTAAAAAAATTAGTGGTGATGTGAGTGAATTTAAGGCCAGCAAAGGTTGATTTGAGAGATTTAAAGGGAAGGGAAGTAACCCCAGAAAAGGACTTGCCACCTCAAGTCCTAATGGAAGGGGATTCCCTTTCTAAACACTAAGACTATCAACACTCTCCCCTCCTCCCATCCCATCCCATCAATAAAGGTAAGTGTCATGTAACTGTGCATGTCTTCTTCAGTTTGTGTGTATTAAAATTAATATTTCATGTGGTAAAAACAATTTTTTTTTCATACTTTGGGGTGTCCTACACGGATTAATTTGATTTCCATTATTTCTTATGGGGAAAATTAACTTGACTAACGATAATTTTGACTAACGATGAGCTCTCAGGAACGGATTAATAGCGTTAGTCGAGGGTCCACTGTACTTTGGTAAGTCCATAAAAAAAAAAAAAAAAACTTTTAATTTTCCCAGTTTCTTTAAAAAAATTGGCCCAAAATCAGTCTGAACCTTTCTCTAAGAAAGATACTGCACCAGTGCTTCAGGTTATTGCATGGAACCCAAATTTGCTTAATTAAACAGGCAAATTAAAACTTACGTAAACTACAATCATTGCCAAGATTCATTTAGGAAAAGCACACCAGTGCTTAAGTTTGAAGTATGTAGACTGGATGCATTCCCCAGTTATTGCACAGAATTCAACTATTCTGAATTTATTTATTAAATGTTAGTTAAATGGTAAATTTACACCTACAAAGCCTGAACCCAAAATGTATCATACTTTTAATAAGATGAATCAGCCATTAACCCTTTTACTGTCCCATGTTGATCTACATTACTGAGGTCAGTGGTACTTGTGTAGATCAACAACTTAATCAGTACACTTTCAAGTATGCCATGAAACATGAGTGAATGGATCTGTTCACTGGGTGTTCACACTATCACAAAAATTCTGCCCCCCCCCCTTCCCCACAGTGCACGATGGAAACAGCTAACCTCAGATATTGTGTTTGGTTTAAAATAGTTCCTGGGGTCTCATGGTATTATTGGTTGTTTCTTGGTATCAGTTGATAAAACGAAAGACATACCAATGACCAGGAGATGATCTTTGTCTGTTTCAGACTAAGTGGCTTGAAATAGTCCTCAAACTAGTGGAAATATTTAACCACATGATGTGATGTAGACATCTTACCTGCTTGATAAATTTACACATCAAAAGTGCAACTGGGCAGAATTTCTTACCTTGAAAACAGCATTAGCAGTATTAGAGTAATAAGATTTTATGCATTTCAAGACACATTCTAATAGGAATAACAATTTACTGAAACTTTTACTTATTAAAATTAAATTCTAAATCAATTAAGTCATGGGTGTGTGTGTGTGTGTGTGTGTGTGTGTGTGTGTGTGTGTGTGTGTGTGTGTGTGTGTTATAATGATAATAATAATTAACCAGAAGCAGTTTCTAATAAAGAATTTTTTATTTATGATGACTCTGTAGTTATAAAAACATTAATTAAAAATATTTGTATTATGGTTATCGCATTTTAATTACTTCTAAATTTCACGAAATGCCTTTCCTTTTACTGTATTGTAGCTTATATATAAAACTAATAAATTTGAACACAAAAATTATTTAAAGAAAAAAATATGTTCTGGGTATCTGATCCATTTTTGTTACTCATTAATTATCTAAAATTCATTGATAAAAGTTATATTTATTAATGTTCATTAATTTCATTTAAGGTATTATGCACTATATTTTTCCCCACACTATTACTCTTATCACCAGTTTGCTGTGCAGTAGGATCACTGATCAGTATTTTGATCATTGACTATTGTAATCACACTCATAAGAATTGTTATACACTAAGCTGTCGTCTCCTGGCTTCATGAGTCCAAACTGCACTGTTCTGCCAACTTTGTGTCGCTGACATTTTCTGTGATCCCAGAGGAGAGGGGGGAATTATCAGAGGTGTGTAGAAAAGTTTATCATTTTAATTAATGACAGTGAGGATTGTACTATACAGTACTGTTTATTAAAACTTTTTGCAAGTACAGTAATACTGTACAGTAATTGTGTAACCACAAGGGTATGGAAAAGCTAAAGTTAAGCAACTTATTTCTGTTGTGACAACTCTTTAAATGCTACTTGGAAATGTTAGCATGGCATTTGGCACACAAGCAGGTACAGTATTGTGTTTCTGTAACCTGCAGTTGGTGAAACAGTTGTCAGTGTGTGTGAACCTGTTTGAACCAAATGTGTTTAGGCTTTTTCCATGTTCTGTTAATTGTCTTGATTAATATGACATTGTGTGACTTGAGAGACTAGACTTGGGTGCTTAAAATGTTTTAATAATAGTACAACTTTGAAATTTATTGTTCACTGCTTTTACTATTAACCTGTGTTTTAATTTTTATGGAAGTGTGCCAAAGTTTCAATTACAGTAATAGCTTGGTAGAAAAGAGATTTGTGGTATGATGTCAGAACTAGATGAAAGTTCATCACCAAGTGAATGGGTAGACAGTGGACCTGGAAGTTTTACAGAGAATGTGTTTCATGCCCTTCTGTGCTACCAAGAAGAAATCTCTGCTGTATTTTCTCTCACTGCTTCACCCTCTCCTCCACCCTTGGCAGACAAGGACCCCCTTCCCTACGCTGGTCCTGGTTTTCCTGTTTTGTATAAATCGCGAATACCTCCTCATGCCCTGCAACTTGCTAGACAGTCTGAAGTGTATAAATCAATTGAGGTTTGACTTTAAAAATTACCTACATTATAATGTGCACTTCAGTTATTTTTATTTCTAAGGCCTTTAACAGTTATAATTTTTTTTTTCTGAGTGCATAGATTGAGATTTCTTATTGCTGTACTAAATTCCAATTTGCTTACTGTAGCTGATCTCGCACATACACATACTGTGACATGCTTTTGACCCTACTGTACTTTTAAGCCTTCTGTAGTCTTATATAAAGTTGTGTTCATATTGCATAAGTGCTTGGTTCTTTGATTTTAAATACCACATCTAGTTAAGATATTGTTTTCATTGTATATTATAGTATAAATATATTCTTAATAAACATTTTCAGTTTGTAAATAAACTTTCAGTATTATAATAAATTTGCTAACCACTGGTCCTTATGGAAATAACCATACAGGATATTTTCTTCTACTGAGTTGTAAGAGTGGCACCATTCTGTTTGTAACATTTTCTTATTGTAGCATATTGTGTTTACTTATTTGTATGTGCACAGTGAAAGTTGTAACTTTTTCTTACAATATTATTATTTACATATAGTACTGTACTGTAATCTATCTCTATATCCAGGAGTTTCATTTTGCATTTTTTTTCCAGGCTGGCCATTGCCCTCCAAGGTGGGGTAAAAAAAAAAACCATTAATTGTAATTCTTCTAATAGCCGTCATACCAGAAACACTTGGATATTAACATTTAGATGACCCTCAGAACTGCAACATCCTAAGCCCTCCTTCAAGAATGCAGACACTGTAGCTCTCACCTCTAGGACTTAAGTCTGGCTAATCAGTTTTTCTGAATCTCTTCATAGATGTGGCTGTGCTTATTCCAACAGCATGTCAAGCTATAAAAAGCTGCTTATCTCCACTCACTCATCTAACACACACAACTGCTGGATGCTCAAGCCTTTAACAAACACAACTTCCTTTACCCCTCCCTCAAATTTTTCCTAGTATGACCCCTACCCCTCCTTAGTTTCATTCTGGCTTAATTTGCCCTCTTGGTTATCCAATTTTGTTCCATCATTTATATATGCCCAAACCAACTCAATTCCTCCTCCTCCTCCCCCCATCTAATAATTTCTATACCCTGAATTGTGCACATTATACACATACCACACAAATCTTATCACCAGAATTTGTTATACATATATCCATCCTAGTGCCCATTATCTGCAAGCTGGGCTTGCAGATCTTCATCACCAGTACTGTACTCTATCTTTCTGTGAGCTGTTGTCCTTGAAGTTGGTTTGCTGATCCATTACTTGTGTAGAATATTATACCATGATCTATGAGTTGGTCTCATGGAACTCACTTGCCTATTCTGTTAATGTATAACTTCTTAACAAAATGTGTTAGATAATCCATTTTTATTACACTTAAATGAAAAAAGTGCTAAAAGTTAGGCTTAATGAAATGTCTGTGTAGTAGGTCCAAGGGGTTTAGAAGGCATTCCCTTTTTCCACTGAAATACAAAAGTTCAGTCTTCATGAATTCAGCAGAATTCATCCCTTAGATGCCATTGGAGTTAGGTACAGTACTGTATATAGTATTTTTTTTCTTCTAAATATTCAAATAATATGCATCAGAAATAATTGTATTTTAAATGTCTAAAGACTACAAAAACAAAACATTCAAGATGTAGACAGAGTGTTAATGCTTGGTTTACTTGGAACTCAAATCTATCCACAACATTCCTTGATGGATTTTTAGTGTAGTTATTAGAACACTGCTCAAAAAAAAAAAAAAGTTTGTTACAAGAGTTAAAATATTTAAGGGAGGTTGCATGTCTGACTTTGAATACTAGAAAAAATCATAATTAACTACAGTGCATAGTTTTTATTAAATATTAATTTCACTTTTGTTTTCCCAGATTGATGAGAAAATTCGAACACTGAAACTCTCTGGTCATGTAGGATTTGATTCTCTCCCTGATCAACTGGTAGCCAAATCAACTCAGAATGGGTTCACCTTCAACATTCTTTGTATTGGTATGTTAGAGTCTTGGTTAATTATTTTTTAGTGTCAGTGAATGTATTTATGAAGCAACTGCTTAGTCCTTTCACAGTTAATTTATTTTCTGTCAGAAACATAAAGGGTAGCTGTTTAGACCTGGAGAATAGAAAATTATTGATTATCCATTCAAGCACAGATATCAAATATGCTCATACTACAGTACTACGTATTCTCAAGAGAAGGGAGCCTTCATTTTATAAGAGCATGCTTAATTTTTACTAGACAGTATGACAAGATAAATAAAATAAATTATTTTAATATGTTCTCTGTGTGCTTTCTAAGTACAGTTCATTCTTCACAAAGAGGAGATATGCTTTTGTGAATGTAGGGAGTAAAAAATGGCTAAGAACATAAAGGTAACTGATGTAATACTGGGCTTCTTGATATTATAAAAATTTAACCTTACTAAATAAGTACTGAATAAAATTATTCCTTTAAAATATGGTGAATGTGATCCTATCCAGTGGGAGATTTAGGTGTGTTTTTGTGATAAATGGTTTAAAAAGGTGTGTTTTTATCATTTTTACTTTTAACATTATGTTGTTAATTTTTTTTTTTTTTCAGGCGAAACAGGTATGGGTAAGTCCACGCTGATGGATACACTGTTCAACACCAGTTTTGAATCCAACCCTGCACCACACACGCTCCCGGCTGTCAAACTTAAGTCTCACACATATGAACTCCAGGAGTCTAATGTTAGGTTAAAGGTACAGTAAAATCAATCAATCACTCTCTATATCTCTCTGTATCTTTCTTTCTGTCTTTATCTTTTTCTCTCTCTCTCTCTTTTTCTAGATCATGGAGTTGAACTCAAAATGTTTCATCAATAAAGATACCCAACTGTTGGACGTATGTCTTAATATACAATTTTCTGTTCTAGCTGACAATTGTTGACACTGTGGGTTATGGAGACCAGATCAACAAAGGTGACAGCTTTACTGCTATTGTTGATTACATTGACAAGCAATTTGATGACTACCTGCAGGAAGAACTAAAGATAAAGCGTAGCCTCTCTGCTTACCATGATTCTAGAATTCACGCCTGCTTGTACTTCATTTGTCCCACAGGTCATGGGTAAGGCAATGAATTTTTATATTTATTAGCAAATACAGTAATTTAGCTACTACATTAGTTAAAAATGTGATAAAAAAGACCTGCCACATCATGACTTAATGTAATTGGATTCCTTGTTCGACTGTAGATGCACCATTAAGTGTAAAGGAAGAAAGAACAGGTAACTGCAACATATGGATAAATTATGACAGCATATAATTGCCTTCGTGTCTCTGTTAGTCAAATTCCTAACAATTATTTATTTTCCTCCTTTTTCCAGTTGAAATCTAACTAACTAGCATCACATTTACATTATTTATGTCTGAGGCTACAAACATTGTTAAGCTGTAAAAAAAGGCACAAAAAATTGTGTGGGGGTGAGAAAATTGTATGATGCAGTGTGAATATAGGGGTAGCAGGAGGAGACTGCATTTTTCACCCTGTTAATTAATAAGAAATTGTGTATTTGATATGGATGGGAAGAAATGGTATAAAATACTGACATGATGAAAAAATACGCACAAATGCAGTATAATGTAATCCTTTATTGACTACATTTTGCCCACACAGTTGGTCTCTGGAATGTAACTCTATTGTTTTTCCACATGTTCTTCAGATCAGTTAGCACTAGATTAAATAAAATGCTGTTATTCAAAAACTTAATTCTTATGTTAATTGATTGTTTATTGCAATATATACATCATTGTAATTGATTGTTCTTTGGTAAAGATATAGTAACATAACTAAGAAAACTTTGGATGGATATTTGCCTGTTTGACTACTTCTCTATATGAACCAGATTATAGACTCCTATTTTTTCAATTAATTACAGTATTCTGTTTAGATTTATTAAGATGTATGTATGTTTTTTTTTTTTTTTTCAACAAACCGGCCGTATCCCACCAAGGCAGGGTGGCCCAAAAAGGAAAACGAAAGTTTCTCTTTTTAAATTTAGTAATTTATACGGGAGAAGGGGTTACTAGCCCCTTGCTCCTGGCATTTTAGTCGCCTCTTACAACACGCATGGCTTACGGAGGAAGAATTCTGTTCCACTTCCCCATGGAGATAAGAGGAAATAAACAAGAATAAGAACTAGAAAGAAAATAGAAGAAAACCCAGAGGGGTGTGTATATATATATGCTTGTACATGGGTAGATGGCGAGAATATTTTGAGGAACTTTTAAATGTTAAGGAAGAAACAGAGGCAGTAATTTCATGCACTGGTCAGGGAGGTATACCATCTTTTAGGAGTGAAGAAGAGCAGAATGTAAGTGTGGGGGAGGTACGTGAGGCATTACGTAAAATGAAAGGGGGTAAAGCAGCTGGAACTGATGGGATCATGACAGAAATGTTAAAAGCAGGGGGGGATATAGTGTTGGAGTGGTTGGTACTTTTGTTTAATAAATGTATGAAAGAGGGGAAGGTACCTAGGGATTGGCAGAGAGCATGTATAGTCCCTTTATATAAAGGGAAAGGGGACAAAAGAGACTGTAAAAATTATAGAGGAATAAGCTTACTGAGTATACCAGGAAAAGTGTACGGTAGGGTTATAATTGAAAGAATTAGAGGTAAGACAGAATGTAGGATTGCGGATGAGCAAGGAGGTTTTAGAGTGGGTAGGGGATGTGTAGATCAGGTGTTTACATTGAAGCATATATGTGAACAGTATTTAGATAAAGATAGGGAAGTTTTTATTGCATTTATGGATTTAGAAAAGGCATATGATAGAGTGGATAGAGGAGCAATGTGGCAGATGTTGCAAGTATATGGAATAGGTGGTAAGTTATTAAATGCTGTAAAGAGCTTTTATGAGGATAGTGAGGCTCAGGTTAGGGTGTGTAGAAGAGAGGGAGACTACTTCCCGGTAAAAGTAGGTCTTAGACAGGGATGTGTAATGTCACCATGGTTGTTTAATATATTTATAGATGGGGTTGTAAAGGAAGTAAATGCTAGGGTGTTTGGGAGAGGGGTGGGATTAAATTATGGGGAATCAAATTCAAAATGGGAATTGACACAGTTACTTTTTGCTGATGATACTGTGCTTATGGGAGATTCTAAAGAAAAATTGCAAAGGTTAGTGGATGAGTTTGGGAATGTGTGTAAAGGTAGAAAGTTGAAAGTGAACATAGAAAAGAGTAAGGTGATGAGGGGTCAAATGATTTAGATAAAGAAAAATTGGATATCAAATTGGGGAGGAGGAGTATGGAAGAAGTGAATGTTTTCAGATACTTGGGAGTTGACGTGTCGGCGGATGGATTTATGAAGGATGAGGTTAATCATAGAATTGATGAGGGAAAAAAGGTGAGTGGTGCGTTGAGGTATATGTGGAGTCAAAAAACGTTATCTATGGAGGCAAAGAAGGGAATGTATGAAAGTATAGTAGTACCAACACTCTTATATGGGTGTGAAGCTTGGGTGGTAAATGCAGCAGCGAGGAGACGGTTGGAGGCAGCGGAGATGTCCTGTTTAAGGGCAATGTGTGGTGTAAATATTATGCAGAAAATTCGGAGTGTGGAAATTAGGAGAAGGTGTGGAGTTAATAAAAGTATTAGTCAGAGGGCAGAAGAGGGGTTGTTGAGGTGGTTTGGTCATTTAGAGAGAATGGATCACAGTAGAATGACATGGAAAGCATATAAATCTATAGGGAAGGCAGGCGGGGTAGGGGTCGTCCTCGAAAGGGTTGGAGAGAGGGGGTAAAGGAGGTTTTGTGGGTAAGGGGCTTGGACTCCAGCAAGCGTACGTGAGCGTGTTAGATAGGAGTGAATGGAGACGAATGGTACTTGGGACCTGACGATCTGTTGGAGTGTGAGCAGGGTAATATTTAGTGAAGGGATTCAGGGAAACCGGTTATTTTCATATAGTCGGACTTGAGTCCTGGAAATGGGAAGTACAATGCCTGCACTTTAAAGGAGGGGTTTGGGATATTGGCAGTTTGGAGGGATATGTTGTGTATCTTTATATGTTTATGCTTCTAGACTGTTGTATTCTGAGCACCTCTGCAAAAACAGTGATAATGTGCGAGTGTGGTGAAAGTGTTGAATGATGATGAAAGTATTTTCTTTTTGGGGATTTTCTTTCTTTTTTGGGTCACCCTGCCTCGGTGGGAGACGGCCGACTTGTTGAAAAAAAAAAAAAAAAAAAACATGTATGTGTAGTGTGACCTAAGTGTAAGTAGAAGTAGCAAGACGTACCTGAAATCTTGCATGTTTATGATAGAAAAAAGGACTCCAGCAATCCTACCATCACGTAAAACAATTACAGGCTTTCGTTTTACACTCACTTGGCAGGACGGTAGTACCTCCCTGGGTGGTTGCTGTATGTATGTTGTTGTATGTATGAAGACATTATAGAGGTATATCCCCTCAAGGAAGGTTCCTTGATGTTGGTGAGGGGCTCTTGATTTAGGGAATTGGATCTGTGCTCCAGTTCCCCGAATTAAGCCTGAATGCCTTCCACATCCCCCCCCCAGGCGCTGTATAATCCTCCGGGTTTAGCCCTTCCCCCTTGATTATAATAATAATCATATAGAGGTATATACTGTACTTCATAAGACCTTTCAAATACAGGTTGGGGATGAGGTTTTCTTATGAGAACAGTTAGCATACAGAGGCAGAGAAGAATGTGTTTATACAGATGAACTCTGGAATTTGTGTGCTACATAATCCAAGTGATTTGATTGTAGAAAACTTTTACTGAAACCCATTCAGCAAATAGCTTTGAGTATTCATGGTTTTTCTTTGTTCCCATTGTCTTTTCACTTGGCACAAGAGTCCTATAATGATTGTAACCATAGGAATTAGTTCAAAATGAACTCATATTTTTTTTTTTTTTTTTATCGTTGTCAGTATTAAGCAGATTAGAGAAATACTTAAGAGATATGGCTAAAAGAACATTTAGCTTAAAAATTCACGGCACCTTGAGCCTAACATTTTCCCTTGTCCCGAATTACTGGGTTGCAGTGTTACTTTTGATTATCAATTTTTTCACCTGCAATCTGCATTTGGTTATCTGTTTATATTAGATAGTTGGTAAAGATGTTGCAGTTTGGTGGAGGATTTTAACTGTTGTGTCCATGCTCTTATGGAAAGACTATTGGGGAGTGAGTAAGGTGAATGTGTTTCACATTTTGTGTCACTCTTCCTTGGTGGGTAAGGACTGATGTATTTAGAAAAAAAATCCTACTTAGTTAACCATTAATCCTCATTGCAGACTGAAGAGTATTGATTTGGTTTGCATGAAGAAGCTGGACTCAAAAGTGAATGTCATCCCTGTTATTGCCAAAGCTGATACTATCTCCAAGTCTGAACTGACAAAATTCAAGCAGCGCATCATTCAGGAGATTAAGGCCAACGGAATTCAGATTTACCAGTTTCCTACCGATGATGACACAATGGCGAAGGTAAGGCATGTTTGAGGTTTAATGTCTATATTCTGAAGTGTTTTGGATAGAAGGTTTTCTGGATTTTGCATGTATTTGGTCTATGAGGCTTCTAGTTGAGTCTTTCCCTACCTTATAAACCATTCATTTGTTATGCAGATGACCAGTTAAGTCAGAACAATGGGCAGACTAATGAGATCATGGATATTTTTTTATTTATTATTTATTATCACACTGGCCGATTCCCACCAAGGCAGGGTGGCCCGAAAAAGAAAAACTTTCACCATCATTCACTCCATCACTGTCTTGCCAGAAGGGTGCTTTACACTACAGTTTTTAAACTGCAACATTAACACCCCTCCTTCAGAGTGCAGGCACTGTACTTCCCATCTCCAGGACTCAAGTCCGGCCTGCCGGTTTCCCTGAATCCCTTCATAAATGTTACTTTGCTCATACTCCAACAGCACGTCAAGTATTAAAAAACAATTTGTCTCCATTCACTCCTATCAAACACGCTCACGCACGCCTGCTCGAAGTCCAAGCCCCTCGCACACAAAACCTCCTTTACCCCCTCCCTCCAACCTTTCCTAGGCCGACCCCTACCCCGCCTTCCTTCCACTACAGACTGATACACTCTTGAAGTCATTCTGTTTCGCTCCATTCTCTCTACATGTCCGAACCACCTCAACAACCCTTCCTCAGCCCTCTGGACAACAGTTTTGGTAATCCCGCACCTCCTCCTAACTTCCAAACTACGAATTCTCTGCATTATATTCACACCACACGTTGCAGTAAGTAAATAAAAGAATTATTTTTTTGGGTCACCCCTGCCTCGGTGGGAGATGGCTGACATGTTAAAAAAAAAATTGTACTGTATATGTGAGGGGCCAAACTGTGTTGCCATTTTAGGCCTCAGCTCTAATGTTTGGGTCCCCTACTGCCTTGTCTAGGATGAAAATGTAGGGCTATGCAGGGTCATTCAGTGCATCATGTGTAATATTACCTCAGTTCGTGTGCACAATTTCTCACTGACATGAAAATTTGACTTCTGTATGATTTTTTTTTTTCAACAAGTCGGCTGTCTCCCACTGAGGCAGGGTGACCCAAAAAAGAAAGAAAATCCCCAAAAAGAAAATACTTTCATCATCATTCAACACTTTCACCACACTCACACATTATCACTGTTTTTGCAGAGGTGCTCAGAATACAACAGTTCAGAAGCATATACATATAAAGATACACAACATATCCCTCCAAACTGCCAGTATCCCAAACCCCTCCTTTAAAGTGCAGGCATTGTACTTTCCATTTCCAGGACTCAAGTCCGACTATATGAAAATAGCCGGTTTCCCTGAATCCCTTCACTAAATATTACCCTGCTCACACTCCAACAGATCGTCAGGTCCCAAGTACCATTCGTCCCCATTCACTCCTATCAAACATGCTCACGCATGCCCGCTGGAAGTCCAAGCCCCTCGCACACAAAACCTCCTTTACCCCCTCCCTCCAACCTTTCCTTGGCTGACCCTTACCCCGCCTTCCTTCCACTGCAGACTGATACACTCTTGAAGTCAATCTGTTTCGCTCCATTCTCTCTACATGTCCGAACCACCTCAACAACCCTTCCTCAGCCCTCTGGACAACAGTTTTGGTAATCCTGCACCTCCTCCTAACTTCCAAACTACGAATTCTCTGCATTGTATTCACACCACACATTGCCCTCAGACATGACATCTCCACTTCCTCCAGCCTTCTCCTCGCTGCAACATTGCCTCCAAGGACAAAGTTCTTTGTCTCCACAGACTCCTAAGTGCACCATTCACCCTCTTTCCCTCATCAGTTCTATGATTCACCTCATCTTTCATAGACCCATCCGCTGACACGTCCACTCCCAAATATCTGAATACATTCACCTCCTCCATACTCTCTCCCTCCAATCTGATATCCAATCTTTCATCACCTAATCTTTTTGTTATCCTCATAACCTTACTCTTTCCTGTATTCACTTTTAATTTTCTTCTTTTACATACCCTACCAAATTCATCCACCAACCTCTGCAACTTCTCTTCAGAATCACCCAAGAGCACAGTGTCATGAGCAAAGAGCAGCTGTGACAACTCCCACTTTATGTGTGATTCTTTATCTTTTAACTCCACGCCTCTTGCCAAGACCGTCGCATTCACTTCTCTTACAACCCCATCTATAAATATATTAAACAACCACAGTGACATCACACATCCTTGTGTAAGGCCTACTTTTACTGGGAAATAATCTCCCTCTCTCCTACATACTCTAACCTGAGCCTCACTATCGTCATAGAAACTCTTCACTGCTTTCAGTAACCTACCTCCTATACCAATATGGTAAATATTTTATAAGATTATGAACATTCAGTGTTTTTGTACCAGGTATATTACTAAATTTGAAAGGAGAAACTTTGGTTTTTCCTTTTGGGCCACCCCACCTTGGTGGGATACAGCTGGTATGTTGAAAGAAGAAGAAGAATATTAAGAAAAATGTATGTATCATAACATTTGCAGCCACTACACCAACAGTGTAGTATATTTATCATTCTTTATTGTAGTACTAATAAAACAGGATGTTAATATGTTAAAACAAAAAAATCTTCGCATATATTGTAGGTTAACACCGAGATGAACAACCAGATCCCATTTGCTGTTGTTGGCAGCACTGACTTTGTACGAGTTGGTAACAAGATGTTAAGAGCTCGCCAGTATCCTTGGGGTACTGTGCAAGGTATGTATGTATTGTACAAGAAAGATATTGGTAATAACAGTGATAGATAATGTATAATAAGATAGTGGAGGCAGAGCATTGGTTATTCAGACTGAATAAAGATTAGAGAAAGGAATGACACATTTAAAAGAAATAGAAAAATTCCAAACAAATCCACTTGGTAGTTTGGCTCGTAGAAATGTAAGGTGTTGGTACAAGGACATCAGAATTCAAATGAACCTTCACACTGCACCATTCTTCTTTTACAATTTATTGGGAATTATGAAGCAACCTTGATAATATCTTATGGATATTTTGAGACTCATTGAAGAGAATAAAAAAAATCTGCTGTGCAGAGTTTAGGAAAATGTTTTAGATAAAGAGTCACAGCTAACTAAAGTGATCAAGGATGGTACATGTAGGTGATCTATAAAATATATTTCTTGAGTACATTGGAGGCATTGGGGTAAGGGTAGATGGAATTTTGTAAATAATGACCATGGTTATATTTTCTTTTGATTTTCAGTTGAAAATGAAAGCCACTGTGACTTCACCAAGCTAAGAGAAATGTTGATTCGCACTAACATGGAGGATATGCGAGAAGTAACTCATCAGCGTCATTATGAGTTGTACCGGAAGAAGATCCTTGAAACTGTAAGACATCCTTAACTTTTTCCTTAGTATAGGTAGCAGATATGATTAGTATAAGTAGTTGATTAACCCTTTCAGGGTCGACAGGCCCTCTCAGAGACTTGTTCTCAGGGTCGGCCAAATTTCAAAAAAAAAAAAAAAAATAATAATTTTTTCTTGTGAAAAGATAGAGAATCTTTTCCCAATCATAATGACACCAAAAATATGAAATTTGATGGAAACTTACGGAATTATGCTCTCGCGAAGTTAGCGGTCTCGACGATGTTTACGCATTGGCGATTTTGCCCACTTTGAGCCCTATTTTCGGCCAATTCCAGTGTACTTGTTGACAAAAATCATAACTATTTCGCTAGAACTCCATTTTTTCTATTGAATGAGTACAAGAAACCACCCATTTACTGATTTCAACTATCCAATACAGTGGTCAGAATTTAGCAATTTTGCCAATTTCACACAAATTTCAAGAGATGCCAATTTCCGAATAGGGTCCAGAATAAACAAGAAAGACATTCCTGGCACTAAAATAACATTTCCTCTGTTCATTAGTCACGTCCCCATGCCCCTCTTACATTCTTTTGCTTTCCACTTTGAATTTTTATTCTCACAAAAAATAGAAGATTTACTGTTATGCAGACTACTGCATTGGTGTAGAAATGGTATAAATAATATCAGCGCACTTGTGAAAGAATATTAGACTTGCCAGTTGACGTGTATTGGACGCATAGCATGATTTGTTTACTTTTGAACTTTGGTAAAAATCGAACATTTCTGCTACTTTGAGCTCAATTTCAAGGTACTTTTCTTTGTAAAACCAGTCAAAATCATCTCAATTTTCTGTAATATGTCTTCCATTCTATAAAATGAGACCAGGAAAACTAGAATACAACAATAAATGCCATATGAAAATACAGTGCAAAGTCACTGTTTTAATCCAAAAACACGGTCAGAGTTTTTTTTTTCTCATTACGCACTGTGTGCTGCAGGATTTTTTTTATACTGCGCACACTGACCACATTAACCCATTCTTTCATATGTACGCCTACCAGCTTTCTCTTACTAGATTTGAGGGCGCTAGAATTTAGGCGTACTAGTACGTCAAAAACCCTGGCTCATAAGCCGTACTAGTACGGCCGAAACCCTGAAAGGGTTAAGGTAGGATATGAGCAGTAGTTTTTATTATGTTTTTAATGAAACCCCGGTGTTCACTTCTTTTACAACCTTGTCTTCAAATATGTTCACATCACACTTCCCCATCTAAAGCCTACTGTTACTGGAAAATAAAAATTACCCTTTCTCCTACATACACTTATCTTAGCCTCACTATCCATATAAACATTTTATTGCTTTTAGTAACTTTTCACCTATTCCATACATTTGTACCTTCTGCCACATTGCTCTTGTATCCATCCTATCATAAGTCTTTTTCTGAATCCATGAATGTAGCATAAAGGTTTTTATATATACATTCATCTCCTACCAAGGCAAGGTGACCTGAGCAAAGAAGAAAACACTTTCATTGTTACTCATTCACTCACTGCCTTGCCAGGAGGGTGCCAACTTAACAGTTTGGATTGCCCTCCAAACTGCAACATTCCACCTCTCTTACAGAGTGCAGGCATTATACTTTCCGCCTCCAGGACTCGAGTTTGGCCAGCCTATTTCCCTGAATCCCTTCATAAATATTACCTTGGTAATACTTCAATTGCATGTCAGATCATTAAAAGCACTTTCTTCCACTCAAATATACACCTTAAGTTTATTGGATAATTTTAATACAAAAAACTTCACTTATTGTAACATGAACTTTAAAGCTTATTGGCAACACAAAGTTTATAGGCAGTATTAAAATTGAGAAGTATTAGTTGTAAAATGACAAATGGTAGTAGAAAGACAGCTCCTACTAGATGCAACATTTTACTTGAAAAAAAAAAAATTCTCTTTGCTATACAGTGTCTTTCTAATGCTCATTTAAAAATTTTTCTTAAATATGATTAGTTATACTAAATGTACTGTAATGACTTCAAAAATTTCCACCAGATGGGTTTCTCTGATGTTGGCCAGGATAACCAACCAGTGAGCTTCCAACAGACATTTGAGCAAAAACGTGTAGAGCATCGTGAAGAGCTACAGCGCAAGGAAGATGAGATGAGGCAGACATTTGTCTTGCGAGTGAAGGAGAAGGAAACAGAACTTAAGGAAGTGGAAAAGGAGGTAAGTTAAAATATTTTTTGATCCCTGTAATCAAATAATTTTCTATTATCTGCTCTGTTTATCATTCTTGCAAGCCCTCTGTTTAAACATTTAGATTCAAATCAACCTGATATCACATGATTTATTATTATTCTTAAGGCAATGCTCCACATAACACCTGCTGAACAGTGGTGTAATACCTTCAGTTGGAAATAATTGATTAATTCAATGAGGATAGACAATTAAAGGCATAGCAGGAGTAAGGAAATTCTCAAAACCCTTCAAAGGTTTATCAAAGATAGTTTTTCCATTCTCAGGGAAGGTGGGTGGGGGGGGGGAGGATATAATGTTGGGACTTTACTTTACCTCTAGCAGTTCACAGTCTTAGCTGCTTATGACTACTTGAGTATGATATATGACCCCCTCATCTCAAGCACTAGGAAAGAGGGAGGAACTGGGACCCCCCTTTCCCCCCTCTTCCCTGTTGGAGGTAATTTCTCCACACCACAAGTACACTATATGATAAAAAAAAAAAAAGGAATTTGGCCCAAAGACGACTGAGAACAAACCGTACAAAATTCAGCTATACTCCATTTAGTCCGAGGTTTTTTGGTCATTATCCAAATTGTTATGCAAACAGTCATTAAACAGGGTATCAGAGTAGAAGTTTGTAAGATTTGCCTTTCATTTCACATATTCAGAAACCAAGAAGAAAGACCAGCAGTCCTATCAGGGGGTAAAACATTTGAATAAATGGTTTAGAAACTGACCAGTTGGTAAATGAGATACTTGAGCAACATTTGGGTATCTTTATTCTGGAAATGTTTTCCAGCCATTGGCTTCTTCAATGCAATGCAGCAATCCTACCAGGGGATAAAACATTTAATAGGCTTCCATTTCACACTTGTGTGATAAGAAAGTAGTACTACTTCGGAAGGTTGCTGTTTACTAACCTGCCACCTGTAATGATACAGAAATAATATTACAAGCTTATTGGTTGGTGTATATGTAGTAATTTGCCCTTAACTAAGTTTTAAGAGTAAAGATCTGTATATTAGTTTTTCATTGTACTCCATTCCTTCACAGCTATACACAAAATATGACACACTGAAGCGAGAACATGCAGAAGAGAAAAAACGTTATGAAGATCTCAAGAAACGCCTTGATGAAGAAAAAGCAGAGTTTCAGAAGCGTAAACACCAAGTAGCCACTCAGCAACTCACCTCCCATACCCTCACTCTCGGCAAAACTAAGAAAAAGTAAAAAGGAATACTTAAGTATATTTTTGAAATATTGTACTTTGACTTACCATATATATACAAAATCTTAAAAGGTAGGGAAAGATTACTGCCTGTATGAAGAGTCTCACTATTGAAAGAAAATGTTCATAATTCTCTGTTTCATAGAAAAATAATGATTGTCTTTGGAAAAAATATTAGGGTTATTTCAATCTTATAATTCAAATGTAATTAATATGGGAGACGGCCGACTTGTTGAAAAAAAAAAAAAGTTTTGATTTATTTGTAACAGCACAAAGAATTAAGGCATGGATTATGAGACAATATAGAGATGTCAACTAGAATGATCAGTAGACTTTTGTCCATTGGTCTTTTCTTCACTGCTAATGATTTTCTGAATCCCATTCTGTATTTATAAAATCATGTGTTCTGTGTTAGTCATGGTGTGTTGTATCAGTAATTAATAAGATCCTTTAATTTCTGAACCCTTGTTGTAGACAGCAATTTCAGTATTACATATTATATAGCTAATTGTCTTGTATTTTACGTTACTGGAGTTCTAGTGTTAAGAAATCCTACAAAAAAATTATGAAATGTTAAGTAGTAGTGCTTCCATTAAGACAATTTGAAATCTTAATATCTAAATATACCACTGAAGTGTACCTGTGTGTAATTGTTCATGTCATTTTAAACAAAATTAAGTATAATTTGAATTTTTTAAGCATTTCTAGATACTCAGGAGTTTTATCTTACTTGTTTTCAAGTTGCAGCTTTTGAAAAAAATTAAGTAATGAGTGTACAGTACTTACATGCTTTATACATGTACTATTTAGAACACACTGTTATTTAATAGACTCTTAATCCATTGTGTGTTCTATAAAACTGCTTGGTAATAAATTTAGTTTCATAACTTGTTGCCAAGGAGTGTTATGCTATTTTTATCATGGAAATGTTACAGTGTAAATGCAATTTTAGTGAAAACAATTGGGTCAGACTCCAATATTATGATTTTGTTACACAGATATGAATTATTTCCTAGAGTCTTACAAATGCTCATTTTTGTCAGCTTGGTCATTTTAATGCTGATGTTTAAAGTAATGGGACTTACAAGAAGTAAATGCAGATCCCTCCCCCTCTTTTTTTTAGTTGTAATATATGTAATTGTCTAGGTAGTAGGTTGGTAAACAGCAACCGCCCAGGGAGGTACAACCGTCCTGCCAAGTGAGTGTACAACGAAAGCCTGTAATTGTTTTACATGATGGTAGGATTGCTGGTGTCTTTTGTCTGTCTCATAAACCTGCAAGATTTCAGGTATGTCTTGCTACTTCTACTTGCATTTAGGTCACACTACACATACATGTACAAGCATATATATACACATACACCCCTCTGGGTTTTCTTCTATTTTCTTTCTAGTTCTTGTTCTTGTTTATTTCCTCTTACCTCCATCGGGAAGTGGAACAGAATTCTTCCTCCGTAAGCCATGCATGTTGTAAGAGGCGACTAAAATGCCGGGAGCAAGGGGCTAGTAACCCCTTCTCCTGTATATATTGCTAAATTTAAAAAGAGAAACTTCAGTTTTTTCTTTTGGGCCACCCCACCTCAGTGGGATACGGCTGGTACGTTGAAAGAAAGAAGAAAGATATGTAATTGTGTTTAACTCTCTCTATAAATATAAAATATGCTTAATTTTCTTTGCTGTTTTGACTACCTTAAAAATTGTGTTCCATGTATGAAAATATAATGTTTAACTGGTAACCTAAAAAATAAATGTATTAATGAGTTTTAACAAATTTGAAATGAAGGCGCTTGTCTTAATTGAATTGATTTAATTACATATCAGAAATTAAAATTACGTGTGTGCATGTATATAGGAAAGAAATTTTTTTTTTTTTTTAGTTATTTTTTTTTTTCAGTATAGGAACATAACACAAAATTTAAATAACCTTTCTATGCTATGCTATAAGTAAAATGCACCTTTTGACTTATGGTATTCTTTTCTGGTTGTTTTCACAAATGTATGGGAAACAAAATGTTTAGCCTGATGGAAGTTCCTAAGAAGTTGATGGGAGATTCTTCAGTGTGTCAGTGTAATTAAAGTGATATTAGGCAAAAAATATAATAGTGGCTAGCATTTAGAAGATGGGTAGTATATTAAGTGACCAGCTATACCAAAGCTTTTTGTAGTGTTCTTGTTTTTCACTGCTTTATATATACTAACTTGATTGATCAGTGATAATCCTGCACTACCAAATTTTGCTTGGATTTTCAGTTTTGTAGATACTCTGCTACATGACTAGCTTAGTATTACCAGCTAAATATAGCAACTCCTTTTTATTTTTTGTTTATTTTTTTTTTGTTTATAAATTTAGGTACTTAAATTCAATATTAATACCACTCCTGTAAGATTACTTAGGTCAGATGTTATTGTTAGTCATATTAACAGAGGTTACTGTAATGTGTTCAGATTCCAACAATAGTAAAATGAAATACAAAATTTGAGAAAGATAAAAATACAGATGGAAATGTGTGGTGTCAGTGAGGTATGGGCAAGCATATCTTTATTGCCTAATCAGTTTTTGTTCAAAGATAAAGGTGTCAGAATTTGGGACTCTGAGTCACGGTTACATGTGCCACTTGACAGTTCAGTGGTAAATGTGGGTAACAAAACCATTCCATTTGTCATTGTTTTTGTTGAAGATCTTTCATCTACTTTTCTTTGCCATCCTCAAAATTGTATTTTTACTATATTTCTGAATTCTAATTTTTGAGTTCCACTATGTTAGTTCTGACTCTAGTCCAAGATTATCCAACTATTTTGTATGCATGATATATTAATGATAAAATTTTGTAGATACTGCCTTCCATTCCTGTCATTAATAGTTTTATATGAAATTTAAATAAATCAGTAATGCAAGTTAAATAGGATTTTCTATTTTCCTTGTATATACCTCTTCAGCCATATTGAATGCCCAGAGGGTCTTCAACACTTATTGTTTCTATATAGGTACTTGATAATATTCTACACATTTAGCTATCTTTATTCTCAGACTGAAGCAGGTTCATTCTTTTTTTAATTCATATTTCTTTTTCGGGCCACCCTGCCTTGGTGGGAATCGGCCGGTGTGATAATAAAAAAAAAAAAAATAATTTCTGATACATGTATTTGCCTATTTGTAGTTGCAGGGGTTGATTCTTTGGTCGTGGAAGCCCCTCAGGGAAGGTTCCTTGATGTTGGTGAAGGGCTCTTGATTTAGGGAATTGGATCTGTGCTCCAGTTCCCCGAATTAAGCCTGAATGCCTTCCACATCCCCCCCAGGCGCTGTATAATCCTACGGGTTTAGCGCTTCCCTTGATTATAATAATGGTCGTGGAAGCTAGAATTGCACTGATTGATAGTGGAGTGAGTTTATAAGAACATAAGAAAGGAGGATCACTGCAGCAGGCCTGTTGGCCCATACTAGGCAGGTCCTTTACAATCCATCCCACTAACAAAGCATTTGCCCAACCTAATTTTCAATGTGGAAAAAGACACTTATGTACAGTTCAGGACATTTATTAAATGTCTTGAACTGTACATAAGTGTCTTTTTCCACATCTTGTCAGTATCACCATACCATTTCCTAATTTTCAATGCTACCCAAGAAATAAGCTCTGATAACTATCCACTCATTTACAAGTCCCGCTCAAATCCAACCCTTCTCACTCGTATATTTATCCAACCTAAATTTGAAACTACCCAGTCCTAGCCTCAATAACCCAACTAGAAGGTTACATAATGTATGCTCCTCATAGCATGTACAGTAATTATAAGTAAGTCAGGCTAATTGACTTCAAAATGACTGAAAATTTAAAATAAAAGCAAAACTTGTGTGAACACTGTAGTATATATTTTTAACTTTATTCTGTATTTAACCTCTCATATTTTACAGTGTGTGTATCTGTGTGTGTGTGTGTAATAAGCAAATAAATAGTTAATAAAGTAACTAGTGTTTTACTGAAAATTTCTTAAATCTTGCAATTATGCGATACACTTAGAGACGGCAGGAAATCCTTGATGACTCGGTGCAAGTTTGAATAGCCGTGCTTTCGTGTGTCTGAGTGAATAAAAAGTTAGTATACAGCCTACGTCAGTATGTATGTACTGTATGTTCGATAACTTACAAAAAGCTTTCGCCCATGATCAAAACAATCATCTGTACACCCCACCCTGAAGCACACTGTTTTATCTTCACTGAAGTGGTAAATTATGCTTCCTGTTGGCTTAGCGCTTCTTTTTGATTATAATAATAATATGCTTCCTCTGCGTAATCTTCAAGGAAGAGGGTGTGTTGTTGCCAGAACTTTTGACCCAAGGAATTGGAGCTATTGCTCCTTTGGGTCAAACTTGATTACTTCTCATGCCTCCAGTGCTGCATGACCCCCACAGGTTTAGTGCTTCACCATAAACATAATAATAATTATGACATGCTGCCTATACATTTGTCTGAATGATATGCTGCCTATACATTTGTCTGAATGATATGCTGCCTATACATTTGTCTGAATGATATGCTGCCTATACATTTGTCTGAATGATATGCTGCCTATACATTTGTCTGAATCTTCAAAATATTCATTCTTTTTCTTTTCTTTATTCTCCACTTTTTAAGGGAGAATACCTTAAAGCTAGTGAAGAGTCATGACTCACAAAATTGTAATGATGGGAATGCAAACCAACCATGGTACAGGTGGGGACTGAACTCACGACTAGCTAGTTGTAAAACTCCAGACCGGTGTGTTAGCCACTGGGCCAGCTGGCTACAATAAGATTCATCCAACTAGGTATATTTATACACCATAGGAAGGTTAGCAATAGGCATCACTGTGACCACAAATGCAAGTTTTTACAGATGTATCTCCCACCTGCGTGACCATGACGAACTCGAGCACAAGTCCCCTCCAAGTTTTCATCGTGACTCGAAATCGTAATGGCACGATTCCTAACAAACCACAGTACGGGCTGGGATTGACCACTTGCATTTGTGGTCACAGGTGCCTATGCTAACTTTCCTATGGTGTATAAATATACCTAGTTGGATGAATCTTATTGTAGCCAGCTGGCCCAGCAACTAAAGCGCCAGTCTGGAGATTTACGACTCACTAGCTGTGAGCTCAATCCCTGCCCGTACCGTGGTTCTGGTGAAGAGCTCTTAATCCAAGAAAATGAAGGTGCCCTTTCCTTCCCTGGATCAAAACTCCTCCATTCTCCAGGTGCTGTATGATCCTTATGGGTTTAGCTCTTTCCTGTGACTATAATAACATGCTCAAGTTTAAAAATTGCATAGTTTATCAAATCTGTTCAAAATATTTAATATGTGGTATGTTAAACATTTAGGGATCAAGGGTAAGGTAAAAGATGAAGAATTGCTTAGACTGTTTATTTGTCACATACCATAATTTTTTTACAGTGTCGAATAAAACATCACACTTAGCTGACTACCTGTTTTAAACATGGATATTCACTCAACATGGTCCTTCAAGGGAGTTGCTGTGATCCAAGGAATTAGAGGTAACCTTTCCTTACTTGGATCAAGCCAAATTACTTCTCATTCCCTAGGTGTTATGTGACCTCGATGGATTTGACACTTTAAAACTCCTCCATTCAGGTGCAAATGACCAGCACATTATTTTATGAACTGTCTATATTGTACTTTGTATATGTAGCACATATTATATAAAGGTGATATTATTAAACAGTGATTATACAAGGCAGCAACAAAAATACAAGAAAATTAAGTGAAGTAATTAATAGTAGAGAACAATAAAATTTTGTATAAATGGCATTTCTAAAAAAATTCTTGAATTGAGATACTGCTGTATAATATCAGTACAGTGGTACCTTGACTTACGAGTTTAACTCTTTCCATGACCTAGCTCGTAACTCAATTTGCTTGTATATCAAATCAGTTTTCCTCACTGAAATTAACTGAAATGCCATTAATCCGTTCCAGCCCCAAAAAACCACCCCATTTTTTTGTTATGTTTTTTTAAATAAGAAATTGTATTTATAAATAAGAAACGATTTTTTGCCAGGTCCTAGCAATGTTTTAAAAATGCTGGAGTATATATGAAACTCCTTGAAGCACGGTGTAAGACAAGTGTTACTCCACTGCTGACAGTGCAGCAGTGGAGTGACATCTGATGATCGTGCACTGCCTTGGCTTTATTTTTCACTGTTACACATAAACATGTCTGTCTATCTGTTTGTTTCTATCTGTCAATCTGTCTAGCTCTATGTTTGTCTCTGCTTATCTGTCTGCCTGTGTTTCTGTCTTCCTGTCTCTCTACTTGTCTCTCTGTCTCAGAGAGAGACCCGCTCATGAACCAACAGGTATTACACACGATGCAGTCGGACACGTCTGATTCCTGAACAAGTGAAAATGTGTATTACTTGCCAGTCATGCTTATTATGCCTTATATCTAAAAGGATAGTATAGCACTTAGTCTGGATTTTTTGGGTTACCCTAGGTAATTTACGCTATGTATAACTGTCTTTATGTGTACCTGTGAGATGGAGACAGAGATAGAAACATAGACACATAAGAACATAAGAACATAAGAACGAAGGAACACTGCAGAAGGCCTACTGGCCCATGCGAGGCAGGTCCAAGTCCCTACCGGCCTAAGCCAATGCACCCAACCTAGTCAGGTCAGGTCACATTGACTTAAGGGAGGAACACGGCAACCGACCTGTTAGCACAAGCTATCAGGTCTAACTCACACCCACCCACATCTACTCATGTATTTATCCAACCTATTTTTAAAGCTACACAACGTTCTGGCCTCTATAACGGTACTTGGGAGTTTGTTCCACTCATCCACAACTCTATTACCAAACCAGTACTTTCCTATATCCCTCCTGAATCTGAATTTTCCAACTTAAAACCATTGCTGCGAGTCCTGTCTAGGCTAGATATTTTCAGCACACTATTTACATCCCCTTTATTTATTCCTGTCTTCCACTTATAAACCTCAATCATATCCCCCCTAATTCTACGTCTTTCTAGAGAGTGCAGTTTCAGGGCCCTTAGTCTATCCTCATAGGGAAGGTTTCTGATACATGGGATCATCTTTGTCATCCTCCTTTGTACATTTTCCAGAGAATTTATATCCATTCTGTAATACGGTGACCAAAACTGTGCAGCATAATCTAAATGAGGCCTAACCAAGGATGTATAGAGTTGAAGAACAACCTGAGGACTCCTATTATTTATGCTTCTTGATATGAAGCCAAGGATTCTATTAGCTTTATTGCGAACACTTATGCACTGTTGTCTTGGTTTCAGATTACTGCTAACCAGAACTCCTAAATCTTTTTCGCAATCCGTAATATTAAGATCTACATTATTTAGTTTATATGTGGCATGGTTATTGTCCTGTCCAACATTTAGAACTTTGCATTTGTCTATATTAAACTGCATCTGCCACTTCTCCGACCACTGCATCAGTCTATTCAAATCTTCCTGGAGTGCTCGAATGTCCTCGTCAGAATGAATTCGACGGCCTATTTTGGTGTCATCGGCAAACTTGCCGATGTCGCTCTTTATGCCCTCATCTATGTCGTTTATGTAGATTGTGAACAGCAGGGGGCCCAACACTGACCCCTGTGGAACACCGCTCGTGACGCTTCCCCACTCACAGAGACAGAGATACAGACAGACAGAAGGATATAGAGACAGCCAAGGCAAATCAGCCAGCCGGCCAGCCACATGGCCACCCAACTAGCCGGCCTGCCAAACACGTATTACACATGTTCCAGAATTATTTCTCTTTACTTAGGGCATACGTTATAGAACATTCTGGCAGGATGGCATTACTAATGGCATCAAAACTGAAAGGATGTTTCACACTGGTCATTATCGAGGTTTTTGTCTCCATTCGCTCATGTCTAATATGCTCATGCACACTTGCTGGAAGTCCAAGCCCCTCGCACACAAAACATCCTTTACTCCCTCCCTCCAACCTTTCATAGGCCGACCCCTACCCCACCTTCCCTCCACTACAGATTTGTATACTCTCGAAGTCATTCTATTTCGTTCCACCCTCTCTACACGTCCAAACCATCTCAATAACCCCTCCTCAGTTCTCTGGATAGTAGTTTTGTTAATCCCACACATCCTCTTAATCTCCAAACTATGGATTCTCTGCACTATATTCACACCACACATTGCCCTCAGACATGACATCTCCACTGCCTCCAGCCTTCTCTTTGTTGCAACATTCACAACCCATGCCTCACACCCATACAAGAGCGTTGGTATAACTATACTCTCATGCATTCCACTCTTTGCTTCCATGGATAAAGTTCTTTGTCTCCACAGACTCCTGAGTGCACTACTCACCTTTTTCCCCTCGTCATTTCTATGATTCACCTCATCCTTCATAGGCCCATCTGCTGACATGTCCACTCCCAAATATCTGAACACATTCACCTCTTTCATACTCTCTCTCTCCAATCTGATATCCAGTCTTCCGTTACCTAATTTATTTGTCATCCTCATCACCCTACTCTTTCCTATATTCACTTTTAACTTCCTTCTTTTACATACCCTGCCAAACTCATCCACCAACCTCTGAAACTTCTCTTCAGAATCTCCCAAAAGCACAGTGTCATCAGCAAAGAGCAACTGTGACAGCTCCCACTTTGTGTTAGATTCTTTATCTTTTAACCCCACATCTCTTGCCAACACCCGAGCATTCACTTCTCTTACTACTTTATCTATAAATATATTGAACAACCATGGTGACATTACACATCCCTGTCTAAGGCCTACTTTTAATGGGAAATAATCCCCTTCTATCCTACATACTCTAACCTGAGCCTCACTATCCTCGTAAAAACTTCACTGCTTTCAATAACCTACCTCCTATTCTAGACATTTGCAACATCTGCCACATCGCTCCCCAATCCATCCTATCATGTTCCTTTTCCAAATCCATAAATGCCACAAAAACCTCTTTACCCTTATCTAAATACTGTTCACCTATATGTTTCACTGTAAACACCTGGTCCACACACCCCCTACCTTTCCTAAAGCCTCCTTGTTCATCTGCTATCCTATTCTCCGCCTTACTCTTAATTCTTTCAATAATAACTCGACCATACACTTTACCAGGTATACTCAACATACTTATTTCCCTATAATTTTTACACTTTCTTTTGTCCCCTTTGCCTTTATACAAAGGAACTATGCATGCTCTCTGCCAATCCCTAGGTACTTTACCTTCTTCCATACATTTATTAAATAAAAACAGTAACCACTCCAAAACTATATCCCCACTTGCTTTTAACGTTTCTATCTTCATCCCATCAATCCCAACTGTTTTAATGCCTTTCATTTTACTCACTGCCCCATGCACTCCCCCCACACTCACCACTGGCTCTTCCTCACTCCTATAAGATGTTATTCCTCCTTGCCTTATACACGATATCACAGCTTCCTTATCTTCATCAACATTTAAAATTCCTCAGAATATTCCCTCCATCTTCCCGATGCCTCTTAACTTGTGATGTACCATTCATCATGGTACATCACAAAAAAAGTTAAATACCTGTATTAAGATTCTCAGACTAGATCATGTGATAAAAAGCTATTAATATGTATAATTACCAAGAGAGAGAAAGAACACAATGAAAGGCATCACTGTATTAACAGAACTGAATGACCCACACAGGTTTACCAATTCATTTAAACATACTGTACTGTAATACTGTTGTTATAACACTAAATAATAAAAAAAATATTGAAAAGTATATTACTGTATAGACACGACAGTACTGGATGACCACTGTGGGTTTAGCGTTTAGTTTTGATTATAATACTAATGTATAAAGATGTATGTATAGCTTCATAAAGAAACCAGCACAATATATACCATATATTTGAAAAGGGGAACTGCGTTACCATATATTTAGGGGGAAGTGCTAAACCCATAGGAGTCAAGAGTGCCTGGGGGATGACAGGCAATGTGGTTCGATCCAAGGACGTGAACGCCAAGTCCAATTCCACGGATCACAAGCCCCTCGCCAGCATCAGTGAACCTCCTTTGGAGGAGGGTTGTTCTTCAAAGATCTTTCCCCTCAAGGGAGGTTCCTTGACGCTGGTGAGGGGCTCTTGATAAGAGATAAGATAAGATTTCGTTCTGATTTTTAACCCCGGAGGGTTAGCCACCCAGGATAACCCAAGAAGGTCAGTGCGTCATCGAGGACTGTCTAACTTATTTCCATTGGGGTCCTTAATCTTGTCCCCCAGGATGCGACCCACACCAGTCGACTAACACCCAGGTACCTATTTGCTGCTAGGTGAACAGGTGTAAGGAAACGTGTCGAAATGTTTCCACCCCCTTGGAATCGAACCCGGGCCCTCCGGGTGTGAAGCGGGAGCTTTAGCCACCAGGCCACCTGGATCTAGGGAACTAGATCTGTGCTCCGGTTCCCTGAATTGAGCCAGAATACTTTCCATCCCCTCCACATGCGCTGTATAATCCTACGGGTTTAGCGCTTCCCTGTGATTATAATAATCCAAAGATCTTCACTTAGAAAACCATCAAGGCTAGTGAAGGGGCTCTTGATCCAAAGTAATGGACCTGGATCCATCCTGACTGCCTCTTAATCTCCAGGCATTGTATGACTTCTCAGGGTTAACACTTCTTCCATGAATGTAATGATAAAAAAAATACAGGGAAAAGCACCATGACCCATTTAAGTTTAGTGTACTCTTGTAAATAATAATAATTAATAATAATAATAATAATAATAATAGTAGGTTGGTAGACAGCAACCACCCAGGGAAGTACTACCGTCCTGCCAGATGACTGTGAAACAAAAACCTGTAACTGTTTTGCATGATGGTAGGATTGCTGGTTTTCTTTTTCTGTCTCATAAACACGCTAGATAACAGGGATATCTTGCTACTCCTACTTACACTTTGGTCACACTTCACAGACACGCACATGCATATATATATATACATACATCTAGGTTTTTCTCCTTATTCTAAATAGCTCTTGTTCTTTTTTATTTCTTCTATTGTCCATGGGGAAGTGGAAAAGAATCTTTCCTCCGTAAGCCATGCGTGTCGTATGAGGCGACTAAAATGCCGGGAGCAATGGGCTAGTAACCCCTTCTCCTGTATACATTTACTAAAAAAGAGAAGAAGAAAAACTTTATAAAACTGGGTTGTTTAAATGTGCGTGGATGTAGTGCGGATGACAAGAAACAGATGATTGCTGATGTTATGAATGAAAAGAAGTTGGATGTCCTGGCTCTAAGCGAAACAAAGCTGAAGGGGTAGGAGAGTTTCAGTGGGGGAAATAAATGGGATTAAATCTGGAGTATCTGAGAGAGTTAGAGCAAAGGAAGGGGTAGCAGTAATGTTAAATGATCAGTTATGGAAGGAGAAAAGAGAATATGAATGTGTAAATTCGAGAATTATGTGGATTAAAGTAAAGGTTGGATGCGAGAAGTGGGTCATAATAAGCGTGTATGCACCTGGAGAAGAGAGGAATGCAGAGGAGAGAGAGAGATTTTGGGAGATGTTAAGTGAATGTATAGGAGCCTTTGAACCAAGTGAGAGAGTAATTGTGGTAGGGGACCTGAATGCTAAAGTAGGAGAAACTTTTAGAGAGGGTGTGGTAGGTAAGTTTGGGGTGCCAGGTGTAAATGATAATGGGAGCCCTTTGATTGAACTTTGTATAGAAAGGGGTTTAGTTATAGGTAATACATATTTTAAGAAAAAGAGGATAAATAAGTATACACGATATGATGTAGGGCGAAATGACAGTAGTTTGTTGGATTATGTATTGGTAGATAAAAGACTGTTGAGTAGACTTCAGGATGTACATGTTTATAGAGGGGCCACAGATATATCAGATCACTTTCTAGTTGTAGCTACACTGAGAGTAAAAGGTAGATGGGATACAAGGAGAATAGAAGCATCAGGGAAGAGAGAGGTGAAGGTTTATAAACTAAAAGAGGAGGCAGTTAGGGTAAGATATAAACAGCTATTGGAGGATAGATGGGCTAATGAGAGCATAGGCAATGGGGTCGAAGAGGAATGGGGTAGGTTTAAAAATGTTGTGTTAGAGTGTTCAGCAGAAGTTTGTGGTTACAGGAAAGTGGGTGCAGGAGGGAAGAGGAGCGATTGGTGGAATGATGATGTAAAGAGAGTAGTAAGGGAGAAAAAGTTAGCATATGAGAAGTTTTTACAAAGTAGAAGTGATGCAAGGAGGGAAGAGTATATGGAGAAAAAGAGAGAGGTTAAGAGAGTGGTGAAGCAATGTAAAAAGAGAGCAAATGAGAGAGTGGGTGAGCTGTTATCAACAAATTTTGTTGAAAATAAGAAAAAGTTTTGGAGTGAGATTAACAAGTTAAGGAAGCCTAGAGAACAAATGGATTTGTCAGTTAAAAATAGGAGAGGAGAGTTATTAAATGGAGAGTTAGAGGTATTGGGAAGATGGAGGGAATATTTTGAGGAATTGTTAAATGTTGATGAAGATAGGGAAGCTGTGATTTCGTGTTTACCTGGAGACCTGGAGAGAGTTTCGGGGGTCAACGCCCCCGCGGCCCGGTCTGTGACCAGGCCTCCTGGTGGATCAGCGCCTGATCAACCAGGCTGTTGCTGCTGGCTGATCAACCAGGGCAAGGAGGAATAACATCTTGTAGGAGTGAGGAAGAGCCAGTTGTGAGTGTGGGGGAAGTTCGTGAGGCAGTAGGTAAAATGAAAGGGGGTAAGGCAGCCGGGATTGATGGGATAAAGATAGAAATGTTAAAAGCAGGTGGGGATATAGTTTTGGAGTGGTTGGTGCAATTATTTAATAAATGTATGGAAGAGGGTAAGGTACCTAGGGATTGGCAGAGAGCATGCATAGTTCCTTTGTATAAAGGCAAAGGGGATAAAAGAGAGTGCAAAAATTATAGGGGGATAAGTCTGTTGAGTGTACCTGGTAAAGTGTATGGTAGAGTTATAATTGAAAGAATTAAGAGTAAGACGGAGAATAGGATAGCAGATGAACAAGGAGGCTTTAGGAAAGGTAGGGGGTGTGTGGACCAGGTGTTTACAGTGAAACATATAAGTGAACAGTATTTAGATAAGGCTAAAGAGGTCTTTGTGGCATTTATGGATTTGGAAAAGGCGTATGACAGGGTGGATAGGGGGGGCAATGTGGCAGATGTTGCAAGTGTATGGTGTAGGAGGTAGGTTACTGAAAGCAGTGAAGAGTTTTTACGAGGATAGTGAGGCTCAAGTTAGAGTATGTAGAAAAGAGGGAAATTTTTTCCCAGTAAAAGTAGGCCTTAGACAAGGATGTGTGATGTCACCGTGGTTGTTTAATATATTTATAGATGGGGTTGTAAGAGAAGTAAATGCGAGGGTCTTGGCAAGAGGCGTGGAGTTAAAAGATAAAGAATCACACACAAAGTGGGAGTTGTCACAGCTGCTCTTTGCTGATGACACTGTGCTCTTGGGAGATTCTGAAGAGAAGCTGCAGAGATTGGTGGATGAATTTGGTAGGGTGTGCAAAAGAAGAAAATTAAAGGTGAATACAGGAAAGAGTAAGGTTATGAGGATAACAAAAAGATTAGGTGATGAAAGATTGAATATCAGATTGGAGGGAGAGAGTATGGAGGAGGTGAACGTATTCAGATATTTGGGAGTGGACGTGTCAGCGGATGGGTCTATGAAAGATGAGGTGAATCATAGAATTGATGAGGGAAAAAGAGTGAGTGGTGCACTTAGGAGTCTGTGGAGACAGAGAACTTTGTCCTTGGAGGCAAAGAGGGGAATGTATGAGAGTATAGTTTTACCAACGCTCTTATATGGGTGTGAAGCATGGGTGATGAATGTTGCAGCAAGGAGAAGGCTGGAGGCAGTGGAGATGTCATGTCTGAGGGCAATGTGTGGTGTGAATATAATGCAGAGAATTCGTAGTTTGGAAGTTAGGAGGAGGTGCGGGATTACCAAAACTGTTGTCCAGAGGGCTGAGGAAGGGTTGTTGAGGTGGTTCGGACATGTAGAGAGAATGGAGCGAAACAGAATAACTTCAAGAGTGTATCAGTCTGTAGTGGAAGGAAGGCGGGGTAGGGGTCGGCCTAGGAAGGGTTGGAGGGAGGGGGTAAAGGAGGTTTTGTGTGCGAGGGGCTTGGACTTCCAGCAGGCATGCGTGAGCGTGTTTGATAGGAGTGAATGGAGACAAATGGTTTTTAATACTTGACGTGCTGTTGGAGTGTGAGCAAAGTAACATTTATGAAGGGATTCAGGGAAACCGGCAGGCCGGACTTGAGTCCTGGAGATGGGAAGTACAGTGCCTGCACTCTGAAGGAGGGGTGTTAATGTTGCAGTTTAAAAACTGTAGTGTAAAGCACCCTTCTGGCAAGACAGTGATGGAGTGAATGAAGGTGAAAGTTTTTCTTTTTCGGGCCACCCTGCCTTGGTGGGAATCGGCCAGTGTGATAATAAAAAAAAAATAATAATAATAATGTCACCCAGGACAAAAGAAAGTGAGACATCATATGTGGCATTAAATAATAACAAAAAGACTGAAATTGGTTAAATTAAATAAATACAAAGGTTACAAGTACGTAACTGCAAGGTGTATTCTGTCAATCCTTCAATTTCTTTGATCAAATCTGATTTCTTCCCATGTCCCAGGCACTGGATGATACATACAAATTTAATGTTACCAATAAAATATTGAGTCAATGAGTAAAAGGGTAGAGAGAGTGGGGAAGGAGAGAACGATTTTCTCAGAGCAAGTCAGTTACATTTTTGTTCTTCAGTGGAACACACAATAATGGCATTCTGCATAATCATGAAATGTACATCAATGAAAAGATAAGCTGGGCATGCACACATATTACAACAAGTGAGGTATCATTAAAATGGCATACAGTAGCAACAAGTTGATAAACATGACATGCAGCGGAGTATCTGTGCTGTTGAAAGGTATCCCATGCAAATAGGCTTTTTTTTCACTTTAATACAGATGAATGTAGCAATGGAAGCAGTGCAAGTAGTTTTGACGTTATCAGTCTGTCACCCACAGTGGGAGGTGATCAGTCCCTCAAGACTAAAGTACATATATGCATACGATTAGATCTTATATACTAGATTAGAGACAAGATAAAAAGAGCTCAAGTTAATGACGCAGGTAAGTGTGTCCCCCGAGTAGGTATTGTTTGATAATCAAGGTAAGAGCTAAACCCGAAAGGGTCAATAAGTGAAAGTAGGTCATGCTAAACAATCCAGTAATGAAAGTTACAAAAGAGCCTGTATCAAGGTACCAATGATGTTGCTGTGTCAGCAAGTAAATTGTTGATAGTTATATGTTGATCCTCAGCTGGAGCTTTTGGTCATCTGACCAAGGCCTTCTGCTGGCTTACCGGTCTATTCCCAGAGGGTGACAAACTGACCACGTCAGCACTATTTCTGCATCCAGTGTTACAGTCACCTGCATTTGACCGAAGAAGCCTGTTTTCAGGCTTCTACAGTTGAAAAATACCCACATATTGCATACGTCTTATTCATCATAATTACAACAGGTGGATAAGGTACTGGGAAAAATTAGACCGCCATATCATAAAAATAACGGAGCAAGATTACAAGTCTCAACGTAACGAACAGATGGATGTCATACATATGGTATGTCATCCTAAATAGGCTTCCTAGCATTCCACATATGTCTATCTTATCCATAAACACATGGACGAAAAGTTGAAATCAACCCATTGTTGCCACGAAGAATCTCGCTCGACGAGGATATTCCGATAGATCTACTGGATGCATCATTGGCCTGCAAGAGTAAAAAAAGATATCTGTAATAAAATGAACTATGATAATAGCTAGACTTCAGTAAGGGGCTAAAGTAGCCTAGTACAAGGTCTATGATAACTTGTTGATGGGTCTGTACTCACAAGCACTGGACAACTGCTATCAACAAGCAACCTTTCGAGGTGCCTTGCAGTGGGTGAAGAATGGCTTTTGATCCAAAGAATTAAAGCTAGTTTTCCCTTTCTTAGAACCCACGTGCGATATGACCCCTCCCCCCTATGGGTTTAGCGTTTACCCTGGAATATGATAAAAACAATGATAAAAATGGCAGTACTACTACTACTACTTATAATAATAATAATAATAATAATAATAATAATAATAATGTGTTCTGTATAGAAATGCAATGATAGTGACTAACACACTATGACCTTGAGAGTGATGATAACATATTTCTGTCTCAGTAATAAAGGTATTCCCCATCTTGGATAACCTTGACTCTCTACCGTATCTTGAACTGTACCTCAACACCCTCAAGAGGCCCAGGAGTTTTACCTCAACGCCCTCTAAGATACTCAGGAGCTCTACTTTAACACCCTTAATATGCTCAGGAGCTGTACCTCAACACTCTTAACATGCTCAGGAGCTGTACTCAACACCGTTAACATACTCAGGAGCTGTACCTCAACACCCTTGACATGCTCAGGAGTTGTACCTTAACACCTTTGATATGCTCAGGAGCTGTACCTTAGTACCCTTAATATGCTCAGGAGCTGTACCTCAACACCCTTAACATATGTGGAATTTTTTACATAATTTCCTAAATGTAGAACATATAAATGAATAATATAATTGTGTATTAAAATGTGATGCTATTTGGACCCTTCAAGAAATTTCGAGTGAGGGGGGATGGAGGCAGAACAGCCGGGGGAGTGACGTGGCAGAGAGGATGCCATATTGAATTTAATGTGTGAACACTGGTTGTCGTGGTAAATTCTGCTAATAATCGGCGTCTTCCAAACCAAATTGGGGGGTTTCGGCCTGAATTTGTAATTAGGAGCCCGTGTTAATGTCCCCTGCTGAAGAATTGGGACAGGAAATTTGCGGGACCTCAAGAATTACGTGTGGATGGCGGAAGATAAGGGATACGAACATCACTCACATGGAAGTGCGCCATTAGTCCTTGCATTTAGATCTCTAGCTGGCCAGTGTAGGGTCTAGGTGTTAGACAGGTGTTGTGGTATGATCCATCTACAGTAATTAAATGATAAGTGGTAATACCAATTTTTTTTGTATACCCAGCAAGCCTAATAATATACAGTCCACAACTTTAATTTATCAGAGTAGCTGGTTTTAGTATTGTAATTATTAATTTAACGGCAGGTCTAGCTTTTTGTGAGTGGTATGGAGTGGGCATCGAGGGAGTTACAGTTCGGCGACCTGCTGAAACTTAAGTTCCGCTTTCCTCGCCCAAATTACTTACAGGTAGTAACTCAGGTAATACCCTGTAAGCCTCCTGCAGGTGATTTGTTCACATAATAATAATTCACAACATGCTCAGGAGCTGTACCTCAACACCTTCAAGAGACACGAGAGCTGCACCTCAAAACCCTAAAAAAATTTAGGCTCAGGATCTGTATTTAACATCCTAGAAGAGGTCCAGAAGCTGTATCTCAACGTCCTAAATAGGTTCAAAAGCTGCACCTCAACACCCTGGAGGTCCAGCAGCTGTACCTCATAAGGCCCAGGAGCTAGAATCTAACCCAGCCAAACAATTCAAATGACATTGTGAAGATATTCTCGAAAGGCTTAGGAGCTGTAACTCAACACCCTGATTTAGCCCAAGACCTGGAGGTCAACTTAAAAAGAGTACAATTTTTAGTCAATGTCGCTAGTGGGTGCATTAATAATAATAATAATAATAATAATAATAATAATAATAATAATAATAATAATAATAATAATAATAATAATAATGATGATGATAATAAATCTTTATTTCTACAAGTACATGTACAAGATATACAAAACTAGCTGACATCAATGACACTACTACATATAGAAAGTCCCTTGTTATGCAGAGCATATCGGGAAAATTAGGTCAATTTTATCCCAGGATCCGACTCACACCAGTCGACTAACACTCAGGTACCTATTTTATTACTAGGTGAACATGGACAGCAGATGTCTTAAGGAAACACAAACAGTGTTTTGTGGTCTACACTGAGTATTTCTCCAGGTAAATACACCGACTGGTGTGTATCCGTCAGAGTACACATGCTAAAAGTTTAATCCCTATTCTCTCTCTCTCTCTCTCTCTCTCTCTCTCCCTAATTAAGAAATAAATCCCTCCCACATCTCGTTTCTAATCCTACCCAAGAAGGTACACGAGATTAATAAAAATAGGCAGTTCTCCCCAAGGACCAGAAGCATTAGTTCATCACTCTCACACTGGCCTTAAGACGCACTAGAAACTGTCATGGTATTTTCCAGCATCATGCGTCATACTCCATCACTGTGACCCAGCTGCCTGCACGTCGTCTGGAAGAAGCCTGGGAGAGGGGACTGTTAGAGGTTGGGGGAGGGGTTGTAAGAGGCTGGGAGAGGGACTGTTAGAGGTTGGGGGAGGGGCTGAAAGCGGCTTAGAGAGGGGCTGTAAGAGGGACTGTAAGAGGTTGGGAGAGGGGCTGTAAGAGGGACTGTAAGAGGGACTGTAAGAGGGACTGTAAGAGGCTGGGAGAGGGACTGTAAGAAGCTGGGAGAGGGACTGTAAGAGACTGGGAGAGGGGCTGTAAGAGGGACTGTAAGAGGCTGGGGGAGGGACTGTAAAAGGCTGGGAGAGGGACTGTAAGAGGCTGGGAGACCGGGAGTGATGAGATGAAATAATGGGGAAAGAGGTGAAAATGGATGATGAATGGTTAAGAGCAATGTGAGAATACGAGACGGAATAACAGGATGTGAAAGGAAATGAGAGTAAAATAAATAGGAACGGGTAAAAGTGGACTGAATGCGAGTGGAGAAAAATATAAGGATAGGTAGGTGATGCAAGGGTAGGGAGAAAAGTGTTGTAAAGAAAATAGAGGAAATATTGCTAGAAATAAACAGAACACAAGGATGATGACAGGTACACTTCACAAAGCTCTGGAATGCTTTAACTGACTTACTAAATTTTTATGAATTATTTTGTCGAGAGCAGAAAGGAGAAAAATAATATCTAAAAGGGATTTTTTTTTTGTTTTGCTTTTAACATGGAGTAAGGACGGTAGATATTGGTCCCGAAGATTGTGTCTCCCGGGGTTATTAATAACAAAAGAAAAGTCTTGTCGGACAGAAGATTTAACTCGTTCTTGAATATGTCTGCAATATTCACCTAGTGGATCCCTGTCTTTCAAGCCAAAGGCCTTGATTACCTCCGCTTTCTCGTGATCACAATGATAATCGTGGATTCTTTGTGTCTGTGGATTTCGATCTTTATAAAATTGCAGTTATATAGAGTTGCACCAAATATGTCCTCAGAGCTCATGATAACATAAGATAAACAGGAAGATTCTGGTCCATACTTGTGAGAAATTTAGTTTTACTCCTCTAGAAAACCGTTCAGGAATTTTCCAATGTTTCATTAATTTGACGGAGCATATCTGTTGCTGCTTGCGGCTTGCATGCCACGTGGCCATCAACACCAGTTCAGCATGCAATACCAACATCAACTGGTTCTCACTGCTTACCCTGGAGTCCATGGTGTTCCGTTTCTAAGTGGGAGTTAATTAATTTAGACAAATTAGGAACACAGTATTAATGATATTAGCTAATTGTTTATACTCACTGACGGGGACTGGCGGGCTAACTATTTATACTCACTGTGGGGGACTGGTGGGCTTCTGTGCCAAGGCGAAGGCCAGGGAGAAGAGACCTATACCTCGTTTGGTCTGGCGTGGCGGCACCCAAGACCAATGTGCTCTCTCATCCTGGTCACTCTTGCTTGCTATGTTATCCTGACCGGAAGTAGTACTGGCTTTATCAACCCAAACTTTACTGCCGAATCCATCAATTTGATTGAAGCTGCTCTCTTCTTTGTCAACCTGACTGAAGCTGCTCTCGGCTCCATCACCATGACTTCGAGTTCCGGCGCTGTAACCCGGATAGAACCTACTTCTAGCTTCTTCATTCTGCCCGCTGCTGTTATTTTCATCACCCAGATTGTGGCTGCCGTGAAGCTCACCAACTTCCGCCATCCTCCTGCCGCCCCAAGGAGACTCACCACCTCTCAGGGCCCAGTATGTGAGTGGGGCCACACGGGGCCTTGGAGCCCCCAGCACCCCATCTTCCACCCACTGTGGGTACATCCTGAGAAGAGGATAAACAAACATAGGAGATCAAGAGAGATTCCTCATTTGGTCAGTTGATATCTTGCCTGAACTGGTGTTTTTACAGAAGTGTTCCTCAACACGCAATTAAAAAAATAGTATAATGCTCAATAATAACCCACTTGGAGATAGAAACTCAGGAGATTAATTGATCTGTATATTTCGACCCCTCTTCTGGAATCTTCTTCAGCATAGGAAGAGGTTCCCAAAAGGGAGTCGAAATATACAGATCACTTAATCTCTTGAGTTTCTGTCTCCATGTGGAATATTATTGAGTATTGGCAAGTGTCCATTACATTTTATTTATTCATAATATGGCAAGGAACAAGGCAGTAAACAGAAAGAAAAAAATTATTGCCTAGGATCCTAGCTAAAACTTTTAACGTTATGATATTCACCATTAAAAATTTGTCATGGTTAATTAAAAAGGCTGAATGTAACTAACCAGAGTATTTTTTGGAGGTTGTCGTTGGGGACACCATCTTGATCAGCAAACAGTTGGGGAGTCTTTCCTCTCCCTCCCCACGGCTCCTCCCCGCCTGTTGAAATTTTATTTGTCAGTCACCTTGTGAACTGTTACATCGACTCAGACCCTTCAACATAGAGAGCTGTGACTTGATGCTGGTGAAACATTCTGATTCAAGACAATAGTTACCTTCCTTCGGATCAAACCACATTGCCTCTCATCATCCCACAGTCACTGTATATATATGTTGTATATATGTGATTATATATGTATGAATAACAATACGCTTCCTGGGTATTAGCACCGTGTACACAGCACATGAAACATTGTGTGACACTTGGGTATTTTTACTGTGGAAACATTTCGCCATCGACTGGTTTCCTCAGTCCAGTACATAGAAGAATGGTTTGAAGACGAGAAGGAGTTTGAGATAATCAGTCCCTCAGCCTGGATTCGATGTGATCACTCCCTCAATCTTGATGGACGAATCACATTAACTCCAAGCCGAGGGACTGATTACCTCAAACTCTTCATCTACAACTATTCTTTCCTGTACTGGACTGAGGAAACCAGTGGATGGCGAAACGTTTCCATAGTAAAGTTACCTAAGTGTTGCACAAGTATCTAATTCATCAACTTGCGGACTCTCTGTACCAGGTGTTTACACTCAACATTGCTTAGTTAGGGATGAGCGCGGAACCAATTATTAAGGCTCAACACGAGACTAGGGTCCCGTAGCTCGATTGATAGTGCACTAAGCTCACATACTGAGGTCCATGGTTCGATCCCCAGTACGGGTGAAAACACCAGGATTTGTTTCCTTAAAACACCTGCTGTTCCTCTTCACCTACCAGTAAAATACCTGTGTGTTAGCTGACTGGTGTGGGTCGCATCCTGGGAATAAAAGTGACCTAATTTGATCAAAATGCTCTGCATAACAAGGGACTTTCTATGTAGTATGTTACTGATGTCAGCTACGGTCTGTGTACGTTGTACATGTACTGGTAGAAATTAAGATTGTTATTATTACGTCAAGTCGTGAAGAAAGCAGTTTTCAGAACACAAGTGACAGACTTCTTATGTTAAAGTGTTGAGACTGAGTGAGAGTTTTCATTACTCTGAGTGTTCAGAGTGTTCAGAGTGCTCAGAGTGCTCAGAGTGCTCAGAGTGCTCAGTGTTCAGAGTGTTCAGAGTGCTCAGAGTGCTCAGTGTTCAGAGTGTTCAGAGTGTTCAGAGTGCTCAGAGTGTTCAGAGTGTTCAGAATGTTCAGAGTGTTCAGAGTGTTCAGAGTGGTCAGAGTGCTCAGAGTGTTCAGAGTGTTCAGAGTGCTCAGTGCTCAGAGTGTTCAGAGTGTTCAGAGTGCTCAGAGTGCTCAGAGTGTTCAGAGTGTTCAGAGTGCTCAGAGTGTTAATAGTGTTCAGAGTGTTCAGAGTGTTCAGAGTGCTCAGAGTGTTCAGAGTGTTCAGAGTGTTCAGAGTGCTCAGAGTGTTCAGAGTGTTCAGAGTGCTCAGTGTTCAGAGTGTTCAGAGTGCTCAGAGTGCTCAGAGTGCTCAGAGTGTTCAGAGTGCTCAGAGTGCTCAGAGTGTTCAGAATGTTCAGAGTGCTCAGAGTGCTCAGAGTGTTCAGAGTGCTCAGAGTGTTCAGAGTGTTCAGAGTGTTCAGAGTGTTCAGAGTGCTCAGAGTGTTCAGAGTGTTCAGAGTGCTCAGTGTTCAGAGTGTTCAGAGTGCTCAGAGTGCTCAGAGTGCTCAGAGTGTTCAGAGTGCTCAGAGTGTTTAGAGTGTTCAGAGTGTTCAGAGTGCTCAGAGTGCTCAGAGTGTTCAGAGTGTTCAGAGTGCTCAGAGTGTTCAGAGTGTTCAGAGTGTTCAGAGTGCTCAGAGTGCTCAGAGTGTTCAGAGTGCTCAGAGTGTTCAGAGTGTTCAGAGTGTTCAGAGTGCTCAGTGTTCAGAGTGCTCAGAGTGTTCAGAGTGCTCAGAGTGTTCAGAGTGTTCAGAGTGTTCAGAGTGTTCAGAGTGCTCAGTGTTCAGAGTGCTCAGAGTGTTCAGAGTGCTCAGAGTGCTCAGAGTGTTCAGAGTGTTCAGAGTGCTCAGAGTGTTCAGAGTGTTCAGAGTGTTCAGAGTGCTCAGAGTGCTCAGAGTGTTCAGAGTGCTCAGAGTGCTCAGAGTGTTCAGAGTGCTCAGAGTGCTCAGAGTGTTCAGAGTGCTCAGAGTGCTCAGAGTGTTCAGAGTGCTCAGAGTGTTTAGAGTGTTCAGAGTGTTCAGAGTGCTCAGAGTGCTCAGTGTTCAGAGTGTTCAGAGTGCTCAGTGCTCAGTGTTCAGAGTGTTCAGAGTGCTCAGAGTGTTTAGAGTGTTCAGAGTGTTCAGAGTGCTCAGAGTGCTCAGTGTTCAGAGTGTTCAGAGTGCTCAGTGCTCAGTGTTCAGAGTGTTCAGAGTGCTCAGAGTGTTCAGAGTGCTTAGAGTGCTCAGAGTGTTCAGAGTGCTCAGTGTTCAGAGTGCTCAGAGTGTTCAGAGTGCTTAGAGTGCTCAGAGTGTTCAGAGTGCTCAGTGTTCAGAGTGCTCAGAGTGTTCAGAGTGCTCAGAGTGCTCAGAGTGTTCAGAGTGCTCAGAATGCTCAGAATGTTCAGAGTGCTCAGTGTTCAGAGTGTTCAGAGTGTTCAGAGTGTTCAGAGTGCTCAGAGTGCTCAGAGTGCTCAGAGTGTTCAGAGTGCTCAGTGTTCAGAGTGCTCAGAGTGTTCAGAGTGCTCAGTGTTCAGAGTGCTCAGAGTGTTCAGAGTGCTCAGAGTGCTCAGAGTGTTCAGAGTGCTCAGTGTTCAGAGTGCTCAGAGTGTTCAGAGTGCTCAGTTTTCAGAGTGCTCAGAGTGTTCAGAGTGCTCAGTGTTCAGAGTGCTCAGAGTGTTCAGAGTGCTCAGAGTGCTCAGTGTTCAGAGTGCTCAGAGTGCTCAGAGTGTTCAGAGTGCTCAGAGTGTTCAGAGTGTTCAGAGTGCTCAGAGTGTTCAGAGTGCTCAGAGTGTTCAGAGTGTTCAGAGTGCTCAGAGTGTTCAGAGTGCTCAGAGTGCACAGAGTGTTCAGAGAGCTCAGAATGTTCAGAGTGCTCAGTGTTCAGAGTGTTCAGAGTGCTCAGAGTGTTCAGAGTGCTCAGAGTGCTCAGAGTGCTCAGAGTGTTCAGAGTGCTCAGAGTGTTCAGAGTGCTCAGAGTGCCCAGAGTGTTCAGCTCTTGTAGAAGGGTGCGCAATTGTGAGTGTCTGGGGCATTGTGTGAGTGCTTGGTTAAGCTGTGTTGAGATGTGTTTAAGCGCATTTGATTATCACATCTGGCTACATTTTGCTTTGAAAGCTACGACTTCACGCACATGTGAGATGACGTTTCGGACCGATTAGTGTGACTAGTTAATGGTCCAAGTCGGTCCGAAACGTCGTCATAAGTTTCTTTCTCTTATGTGCGAGTTATCTGTATATTGTTCCAGTCATGGTATTGTGCATTTTTATTCTTCTTTCTCTACGACTTCAGTAGTGTCGTTCCTAATGATTTCCGCTAGTATGGGTCGTCCATCTTGTCACTATCCCCGTTGACTGGGACAGTGTTAACATCATTCACAAACTGCAACAACCAGGTAAAAGGAAATCAATAGGAGCGACACTAATGAAAGGCATAACGGATAGTGGTACTGTGCGGTGGTATCGTACAGTGGTACTGTGCGGTGGTATCGTCCAGTACTACCGTGGTATCGTACAGTACAGTGGTACAAGCACAGCTTCGCGGCTGTATAAACTTTATTCTGTTTCACCTTTGTTGTATTAATTTATTAAAGGCTTGGTGTGCGAGCGATGTTGACTTTCTTAAAAGAACAAGAGTTCAAGAATGATAATATCAAAGTTTATTATTATTATTATTATTATTATTATTATTATTATTATTATTATTATTATTATTATTATTATTATTATTATTATTGAATTGTACATAAGTGTCGTTTGTGATCGACTACTACTACTACAATTACTAATACTACCATTATAACTATACTACTACTACTAGTGCTGCTACTCCTACCACTACTACCACAATTGCTAATACTACCATTACAACTATAACTACTACTGCTACTCTTACCACTACTACTATTACAATTATTAATACTACTATTACAACCATAACTATTACTACTACTAATACTGCTACTCCTACCACTACTACTACTACTACTACTACTACTACTACTACTACTACTAGTAATAATAATAATAATATACCTTGATAAGCAACATGGTAAACCTTTCACCCCACACACAGCGTTCACAGTTAATGGGATACAAGACTTAGGAAGGCAATAATAGTGATTTTGTATCCCGAGGAGCCAATAAGAGGGCACCTCAGACCCCAGGACGCTCTGGACCAGCCAAGTGGGTGTAATATTACCTCTTATTAAGCAACTCTTGGCCCTGGGTGATCAAGATGGTTTAGAAGATTGTACTTTAGCTCCTGGCTCTCGTAAGGATGTTGATCTACAGCTCCTGGGACTTATGAGAGTGTTACAATAGAGTTCGTGAGTGTCGAGCTGAAGTTCTGAAAAGGGTTGAGTTTTGCCTTCTAGGTCTTTTAAGGAGGTTAAGCTCCAGCTCCTGTGCCCCTTGAAGGTTTTTAAGATATGATTATTATGTTCCTCTAATGAATTAAATAGACGAGGCTGGGGTTATGGGATATGGGGATACCTTTCTTGAATCACGCAGCGACCGAATGGTTCACTGGTTAATGGGTTTAAAGCCTATCGACCTCACCAGCAGACAATAACAAGAATGTCACTACCGACACAGAATATACCTTCATGGTTCTGAGAACATACTCAAAAATAAACTCTGAAGCGTACAAAAAAATATTTAATAAATGAGAAGACTTAAAAATGCCGTATACACAGATAATTTTAGATTTTAGTAAGAGTCTTTGTAAGTGGATTAAGAGAACGGTGATTAGTTTAGCTAACCCCGAGTGTATAAAGAAGCCAGGTTATGTAGTTAAAAGGAACCCAGGATAATGTTAACCTTGTGAAGCCTACTGCCTCAGCCTTATACTGAGACACGT